GCCATCTTGGGCAGCCATCTTGGGCAGCCATCTTGGGCAGCCATCTTAGGCAACCATACTCTGAGCCCCCAAGATCCCCCTTATCCTGGGTTTATCTACCCATGAGGGTGGAGAGGGCAGCATCCTTGGCAAGGAGTCTGGACCCTATGACCACTCCACCGTCACCCAGCTCTGTATTTTCACTGGTCCCTTACTGATAGGGAATTTTATTCTTCCATAAAAGAAATCAGCATGACTGTTACAAAAGCCATAAGGTCATTGCTAAAAAAATTGTTTTGTTTTTAACTCTCTGAGGCATGTAAACAGAGAGAGAAGAGTGAAGTGGCTGCAGGCTGAAGGCATTTGGAGAGATGTGTGCACATGTGTATCAACATAGCCATCTCCATTAAACCCCATAACTTCCTGCTGCTCCTGTGTAGACAACAGATGCCTCTCTGGAGACATCCTTTAGAGTTTGTTTACTATGATTTACAAAGGCCACTGGGTTGGTGCTCCTTGGGACAACAGAAGAATTTAGCCTTGGTTGGAAACCTCTGGTCTAAAGAGTGTCAGTGTCTGCATTGGCATGTATTCTAAATGCAAAGTGTTGCTATGATACAAAATATGGCTAGTGTTCAGATACTTCCAAAATTCCAATATTCCATGCTGTGTGGGACCAGGGATACTACAGATAACATTAGATGGGTAAAACTATTCATTTTTACTATGTTAGACTATATTTGGTGGTGCACAGGTGGGACAAATTAATTTAGAGAGAGAATTCATGAGGAGAAAAGGGTCTGAAATTTTAGATATTGTTTATTCATTGATGTTTTAAAAGCAGAACTCATTGCTATTGAAGAATGAACCTAAAATTATGTGGCTAACGCAGTTGCTTAGCCTGGGCAGTAAGGGTGAATAAGCTTGAAGAAATTATTCAGATGTGCCCACAAATGAGAAACAAACCCAGTGCTTGTAGTTCACAGGTGACCTGCCACTGTGTCTCTGCCGAGACATTTATCTATAACCAACTTTGTTTCTCTGTCAAATGGCAGAAACATAAATATGTTATCTTTTTTCTCTGGTGTGTATGTACTACTAAGCTAGGGGGTCTGGGAAATATTATTAATTTCTGTATCTAAATACTATTTATAAATAAACTATATCCAGCTTTGAAATATGTATCCATATAAAGCAGTTTTCTACAAGCTCTTGTTGGACTTATGTTATTTGTGTATTTAATCTGCACATGACACTCAAGGCTTACCAGGGAAGTGTCTTTAAACACTTTCCTACCATGGCCAAAAGAGGTAAGTCTTAATTGTTACTTTACTATGACTCAGGGTAGCTTTGTCTATGGAAAAGAAGTGTACTAAGAAATGGAAAGCAAAGGTAAGGACATCTGGCAGGTCAAGTGTTCATTATGATTTTGGTGGAGTGGGAAGTCTGAAGAAAGGAATTGTAACAGTGAGTTCTTAGAGGACAGAGGGAGCAGCGTCTTCAAGGGTGAGCACATTATTAGGGAAACTATGGAAGCCCAGCCATAAGAAGGAATGTGGCTTAATTCACCCCTAGTATGACAATAAAATTATTGGGCTTTACAAGGGGCCTGCAGGGCCTCCTGTCACATAAACTTACAGTAAGTTTCTATTTGATTGTGGTCAAAAGCCAGTAATCAGTTCTTAATTTTCAAAATTCTGAGGACAATCCTTTAATGTCTTTTATGTCTTTGATTTATGGCAAGGTAAAGTACACAAGAATTTTCCACTCCCATATGCTCAGCTGTTCATCCCAGCTTACCCTTCTACAGGACAGAAGTAAAGAAAGAAACCTTTTTGTGTTGTGTCTTCAGTGTGCAGACATTTTTACAAGTAGGCCATGAACAGCTTATTGGCTGTCTGGGCTTCATTCTACCTTACCTCCCCCCTTCTTTAAAATATTCAGTTGCTTAGTCTTTTTTTTTTTTTCTTTTTTTCTTTTTTTTTTTTTTTGGTTTTTCAAGACAGGGTTTCTCTGTGTAGCCCTGGCTGTCCTGGAACTCACTCTGTAGACCAGGCTGGCCTCGAACTCAGAAATCCGCCTGCCTCTGCCTCCCAAGTGCTGGGATTAAAGGTGTGCGCCACCACCACCCGGCTTGCTTAGTCTTTTTATTGTAGAATTTTAGGCTGCAAATAAATTAAGATCATTGACTTTGAGACATTCAGGAATGAGCACCTGGATATTTTTTCAAGGTGGTTTTATGACCTCTGTGGTAAAATAATTCATAAGAAGGGACCTTTGGATTTACCCACTGGAATGGCTATTACAGAAAACAAAACTTCTGACACAGATAACTCATTTAACACCTGTACTATCCACAGTGATGTTAAGAGCCCATATTTGAGCAAATTCTTCTGCTAAGAGAACCTGAATTGTTGACATTTTCTGACATGAATGACCACCTGTTACCTTGTTTATCTTATTGCTATGGTCTCACAGTAAGGCCCAGGCAGAGAAAGATTTGACTAGGTTTGAGTGGGGATTAATATAACAAGTGGGAAAAGTAAGTAATGCCCAGCTTCATAAAGAGACCACTGAGCTCATACCGAACTTTTAAATATATCAAAACACAAATTTTAGGAGTACCTATGTCAAAATGGAAGAGAAAGATAGTCTTACGGAATAATTTTCCCGAATAAATTAAAACCGAGGCAGCAAAAAGCCAGAATAACTATTTGCCAGCAGAAGATGCTCACTACCATGAACCTCAAACAGTGGCAGCTGAATTGGTCAGCCTTATGTTACTATAATGAAATACTTGGAGCAGTCAAGTTACACAGACACAAAGTTGATTTATCTGATTGTTTCAGAGGGTCTATTCAAAGATTGGGTGTCTCATAGCTTTGGGATTCCGCTGATGGAGGCATGCTGTCACAAGAGTAGACCAATGTCAGTGTGAGTCGGGGAGGAGAGACATGCTGACAGACCAAGGCTTCACTGCTCCAGATAAAGGCTTGCTCCTGATGATCCAAGTACTTCCTGCAAGGCTCTACGTCCCACTTTCTGAAAACATCACCCTGAGGACTAAACCATTAACTCCTGGGCCTTCTTAAATACTCATTTGAACCATCCTAGTAGCCATGGAAACAGGAAACTGTAGGGAGCAAGGTAGAAGATCATACCAGAGGACAGGAAGTACATTTTTTTCTGTCATTTTTAGATAATGTATGGTTTTTACACAGTATCCTGAGCCTAAGGTGAGGAAATTAGGGTTCTTTGCCCTTTGTCTTTTTGCTACAGTGCAGTAGACAAGACCGTCGGGAAGAAATACATAAGGCAGGATTTCAGACAAAAGTGGTGAACTCATCAAGCAGAAAAAAAAAAGAACAGAGAAGGAAATATGTATATTTCTGGAATAAATAATATGCTAGAAAAAATATATGCAAAGTGCTCAACACAAAACTACCAGAATATAAGAAAAAAAAATCTTGAAACTTGTGGTTTGAGAGGGAGTAATCTTCAAAGGGCAATTTCCAGACAGATATAAGATTTCTTCAGAATGATGTTCAATGCCCCAACACAGGAGTGAAAGGCAAACACAGAGAAGTGACCAAAGGACAGGGGGAAGAAGGACAAGGGGAAAGGAAGACAGGGGGAAGGAAGGACAGGGGGAAGGGAGGACATGAGGAAGGGAGGACAGGGGGAAGGAAGTGCATATTTACAGCCAGGATATCACTTTGCATTGAAATCAAGGATGAAAAAAATCTTAGTCACCCGTGCTCATCAGCTTCCATGCAAGCAAATTCCTCACCATGAACCTGAGCCAACAAAAGACATGAAAATAAATGCTTAAGGAATGGAGAGATCATATTCAAAGGACCGGTAAGAACAGTGCTCTTATGTATAAAATGGACAGAAGAGAATCATGACAGTCTGATACAAAGTAAGAAGAATGCAAATTGTAATGTCTCAATGGCAGGGGAAGGTAAGGTTAGTAACCAAACTCAGGAGATGGGAAGAAGAAACAACGTAACATTCATGACTTCATCTGCTGAAGAAAGGAAAACATTTACATGGCTTCAAACAGAATGATATAGGTCATAAATCCTAAGAGTTCCAACCCTTTATTAGATTTTATAATTCCCTCTTAACCTTAGAGCAATGCGTCAGAAAATAGTAGAAGAGCAAAGAGTTATGCAAATCAGAGTCATTCTTTTCAGTTGCCACTTCTTTCTACCTTTCCAATAAGT